TGCTCCTCCCCAGGAACGCCCCTACTTCTACACCCTGAGGAACAGCCAGCTGCTTCCAGAGGAAGCAAAGGAACCCAGCACTGTGATCCAATGGGCGGTGCCAGTGGCAGCGGGACTCGGCCTTGTGGTTGGAGCCGGCGTGGTGTTAGCCTGGAGAGCGATGAGAGGTTGACCTCATGGAGCCTGAACTCCCCAGCCCCCCTCAGTCGCCAGCTCTGCTACCTCAGCCCCCCTGGCTACCATGGAAATCACTTCCTTCAATAGATAGTAGTTATGGGACGCCAAAGGGGACACTTATGACTCCCTGGGAGTTGGGAACTGTATTTCTGAAGTTGGCAAATTTAAATAAAGGCTAACGGCCATTCTATTCTTGAATTAGCCTGCTTGAAGTGCTTGCTTCCCATCTGTTGTGTGACTCAGGTGTGGGCGCCGGACTCCTTTCGTGTCCTGGCTCAGCTACTCGGCCACTCAGAGCAGGGACAGCACCCCCAGGCCTGCATCAGTTCCGTGAGGAGCTGTGCTCAGTTACCAATGCCACTCTTGTCAAGGGAGGAAAGACTCTGGTCACCAGGTGGGGACTGGAAGCTTGGGGCTGGCGGCTCATCTTTCAATTCAATCCAACAAATACGTACCAGGAAGCGACTGTTTCCTGCCCAGAACAGTGAGGGGCATTGTGCTACCTCAGAGGCTGCCAGGAAAGACAAACACCTTCCAAACACAAGCAGCCAAGTGACACTGCACCATTAAGTCCTGGCCTTTGGTAGTTAAGGCGCCCCGTGGCTTCGGAGATTGGGAGGGGCTCCCTGGGGAAGGCTTCCTGAAAGAGAGCCCTTCTGAAATGGCATTTTAAAGAAGTGGCAAGGTTGGTCATGAATGCCTCCCGTGTGCTGGTTTTCCCAAGGTGCTAACCTGAGGGAAGGGTCCCTATTTCTACCCAGCCAGGTCTCTGAAAGAAAGCCAGGGAGTCGGTTGGGGGCATCATTCAGACTGATTGAGCCCCTGTAGGAACAAGGCCAGGCGCTGGATGGGAGCCTGACTCAGAAGAGCTCTTTAATGCCTCTTAGAAAGAGAAGGGGCAGGACCTTCTCATCTGCATCACAAGGGTCTCCCAGGTCCCCAAGCCTGTGACAAGTGCCAAAGAACCTTGTTAGAACTCCAGGTGGTGGTGTGTGCAGGCACGATGATTCTAACTCACAGTACTTCTATGTGACAGAGTAGGGCTGCCCTATAGAGTGCCCAACCTGCCATCTTGACAGGAGCACATGCCAGGCCCTTCTATTGCAGAATTGCTGGTGGGTTGGAACTGCCAGCCCCTGGGCTAGCTGCCAAGCTGCCAAGCACTTAACCATTGTGCCAGAATCCCAGCTCAGCACTTAATGTGGCCTTGGAAGCAAACCCCTTCTTCAACCTGAGCCCTAGTTTCTCAGGTTCCTTGTCTGTAAAATGATACTCGTACGACCCAGTCTGTCTATTACATAGCACTGTGTATAGGAACACGAAGCTGCACAGAGAAGTGCTGTGTAGCCGGATGTACTACAACATGATGCTCCCCTGTGAGGAGTCAGCATCGCTCCCAGATGCCAGGGGAAGAGGAACAAGCCAGGCAAGGGGGGAGTTGGGAACTGGATCAACAGTGTGTGGCCTGACTGATTGTCATTCTAGCATTAGGGTTCATCTTCTTACCTCTTTTGGAAAAACAGAATAGAGGATCCCAAGAGACTCTGTACAGCCCCACTGTTCTTCTGAGCTCCTCCACACAAGGGCGCATCCTACCTGCGCGCATCTCTTCCTACAAGCT